AATAAGAAACCATGAAAGGCTCCAGATTTTATTAGGTTTTCTTCAAATTCTATTGACACCTGATATAACAAGTGTATTACTATCCGTAATAAAAATTCATACCACCTGGCAATACAAAAAGATGTAATACAGTACATGCTGAATACACAATACAATGAATACAATACTATACACTGAAATAACCACTCAACCAAACATAGGAAACGAATAACATTAGTGATCAAAATATCAGTGTTAAACTATTTTATCAATTCAGCGGTGTTTATCAATATACAATTTTAAATAAAATATACAATTTTATTCTCATTAGATAAACATTTAAATATCCATATACAATTTTGAACAAAAGATTTGAATTCGACTGACAAATCTGGAGTAACCACATACATGAATAATTTTCAAAATACCTACCAAACTATATTAAATTACAACAAATTGATTACATAATCATATAAATCAAATTATACTATTTCTGAAATTTTCAAAAGAAACCAAATAACATCCGAATTAAATGGATCTTGTTTCCACAAAACAATAATAATAATTTTCACCAAAATAAGATACTGAAACTCAATTAATGAAGATTTTAAAAAACCATAAAATAATAATAAACATTAAGATAAACGTTCATAACAAATGAAATCGCATCAGAATAAAAGAAATTAACGTTTTGCTGAATATTTAGTGATGATTTGCTGTTGTTTATCTAATGACATTTTACTAAACCAGTCCAAAATGCGTTCTTCAGTTCGACGACCCGGCTTCTTTCGCACTGCCGATCGACTGATTCGCTGCGGAACTGGCATAGTTTCTGGACTTTTTTCAACGCTTCCACTTCGATGACGACGATTCATCAGTCTGGAGGCACTCAAACGTCTGCGTAATGCTTTATCTCTAGCGCGTTGTCTCGAATTACTGCGATAACGATACGACGGATTCTTCATAAACTGATCAATTGCTTTCTGATTGTGTTTCTGGCCTCTTTCACGTTCTTTTGATTGTGGTGGTTGATTGGGTGCATCAGACTGATATCTTTGCGATATACGAGTTTGAGCTAGTCGAGAACGAGGAATGGTTTGTGGATGCGAGTCGAAGGTGACTGCTGGACGTTGCTGGTGAGCGGGTAAACGATAGACGCGTTCCACCCCTCTGCTGGCAGTACTTGGGGCACATCTAGCGATATGTTGCGCTTGTTCTCGGGGAGTATTATTTCTGTTTGGCGGTTTTGTTGGATTATTGTTACGATTTGACGAAGTGATGATGCCTAGTGTTGGTAGTTTTTCACTTGGCCTACATGTTGTTGGCGATAGAATCGGGGATTTTTTGGCAGTTAGTTGCTTGATGAATTCTAAATAGTCATTGCTGGGCGATTGCAGGAACTGACGATGTAAAGGAATTTCATCTTGATCTTGAACATGCTGATGGTTCTGCGCCTCATTCGTGCGGCATTCGATGGGATCCTCTTGAGCTGTTTGATAGGAGGATTCCTTATCA